CCTAAAATCCCGAAATGGCCACCATGGCCATACAAGGTATCATGGGAGGCCTTATGGCAATTGGTCAAGCAACAGGTGGAAGCACAGAAGGCAACAAACACTCAAATCGCTAATCTAACTGAAGCGTTGCTCGCACATGGTGGACCTCCCGCAGCTTCATCTACAGTGGAATTAAATCCCCAGTCTTCATGAATGCCTGCTCTTCAACTTCCACAATTTCGACATGACAAGACCACTTACAATGACGTTAAGAAATTCCTCAAATCTTTCAACATTCAAACGACCCATTTGCAAGCCACAACTAAGCTCACCTTGCTACAACAAGCATGCATTGGCGAATGGCCAAATTCCGTGTTGTCAATGGAAAAGACCAAATTTACATATGAAACAACACCTCTTCAAAGCTGGAAAGTTTTAAACAAGCTTTAAGTCAGCATTCACGAACCACCAGAAGTACAGCGTTGTCATCCGGCTTCTAAAGTTTCTATGGTGAAATAGCGAGTTACAGAATTGATTACTTCACATTTCACTTCAAAATAACCTTCACCGTCTTGCTAAATTGGGCCAACCCGTGGACCCAAACTCATCTCAATTCATCATGTTGCAGTTTATCTCCAAAACGAAACTAGACATTCAAACAACATTTGGCGCTTAAAGCAGAAGGATACACAGATCTTTCTGAGCTCATCGAAGCTGCAAAACGTATCAAGCGTTCATTCTGGCCTTCACACAGTCAACCCACTAATCTGGCTCCTGGTTTTCCTCGTGGTTGCGACAAGGGACCAAACTATCATAACTGCAATTCCTATGGCCATATCAAAGGCAACTGCCCCCCAAAGCAAGCAGAAAAACCACAATTCTATAAAGCCCCAAAGAAATAAAGAAGTTTGCCGTTTGTGGAACAAACATCAACGACCTCCCTGCGTCTCACCAGACCGATCATGCAGATATGGCCGTCTTCACAACTGTAACACTTGTTCTAAGCCGGGTTACATAGATCTTACTCATGCAAACACCCATCCACCTCTTGCAAACTCCTGAGAAGTTCAACCACCACAGGCAGCCCAACCAGAACCTCACACTCGTGACCTTCTCCAGGAAAATATACACTAACACCTCTCCATTTAACGTTTTAAGGCATGTACAACCAGATAATAATAATAATAATGATAATAATTTACATTTATATAGCGCAAACCTCAATATGAATATATTCGGTTGCGCTTTACAATATTGTTCAAATTTATGTTTAAGGTGACTAAAGCATGAGAAACTATTAAAAACTACAATAAAAAGTATTAAAAACTATAAATAAATAAAAATAATAATAATAATAATAATAATAATAAACCCTATTATAAAAGCCAACAGTTAAATCTATTTAAAAGCTAAATTGAAAAAATGAGTTTCAACAGCAGTCTTCAAAGTGTCCAATGTCTTCATGTTGCGAATTGCTGAAGGTAATGCATTCCAGAGATAAGGTGCAGCCGACTGGAATGCACGATCGCCAAGAGTTGGATGGGTCTTAATGCCTGGCAACTCGAGGAATATAGACTCATTTGACCTTAGAGAGTACCTGGATTGCTTTTTGATAGTAATGAAATCAATTAGACAATTAGGAGCTTGACCATATAAGCACTTAAATGTTAAAAGTAGAATCTTAAACTGTATACGGTAACTTATTGGAAGCCAATGAAGGTGGAAAGGCAATGGTGTAACATGACAGAATCTAGGTGTTCCGGTGACCAACTGAGCCGCGGCATTCTGTATCCGTTGGAGTTTCATGATGTGTGAATTCGGGAGGCCGTATAGTAGACTGTTACAATAATCTATTCTACTGGTGATAAAAGCATGAACTAATGATTCGGTGACTGAACGACTTAAATATTTCCTAATTCTACGCATGTTATAAAGATAATAGAAAGCAGATGAGCAAGTTTTGTTGATATGACTTAGCATACTCATTTTAGAACCAAACCAGGTTCCTAGGTTTCGAACTTCACAAGATGGAGCAATTTGGGAGTCCCCAACCGATAAGGTACTAATGTTACTGACTTTCTGAAGTTGTTGTCGTGTTCCAATCAGAAGACATTCTGTCTTATCGGAATTCAGTTTTAACTTATCCGAATGCATCCATTGACTGATATCAGCAATACATGATTCCATGGCAGTTACAGTAGCGGTCTCCTCCAAATCATTTCCTGATCTAAAGGCAATGTACAGTTGCAGGTCATCTGCATAACAATGGGAATTAGGAAGATGTGATTCGACGATCTCAAAAAGTTTGCTAGCATAGAGGGAAAACAATAATGGCCCGAGACAGCTGCCTTGTGGAACTTCAAATTTAAGATTAAAATTACTCGATAGCACTCTGCTATATAGGTGCGTTGGGTTCTGTTAGAAAGGTACGATTCAATCCAATTAAGTGCAGAGCCTGAAATTCCAAAATCAAACTGGAGGCGATCTAAGAGAATCCTATGGTCCACGGTGTCAAACGCAGTGCTTAAATCAAGAAGCACTAACAACATGACCTTCTGATTTTCCATGTTCATCAGAATGTCATTCTTGACTTTAAGCAGGGCAGTTTCTGTGCTATGGTGCCGTTGATAGGCTGATTGCAATGAAGGAAAAAGATCATGCCCATTTAAGTAGGACTGAATCCGATCAGCTGCCACTCTTTCAGCCAATGTTGAAACAAAGGAAAGATTGCTGATCGGTCGAAAGTTTTTAAAAGCCAAGTCAAGACCTAGTTTTTTTTGCAGTGGTGTAACAATCGACTCTTTCCAAGTGTCAGGGAAAAATCCTGATTCAAGAGACAAGTTTATCGTAGTAGATAATATCGGAAGTAACTCATCAAGGCAATCTTTCAAGATATTAGTGGGAACAGGATCAAGTAAACAAGATTTTGTCGGCGCTCTGAGCACAAGTTTTCTTAAAGACTCCATGTCTACACGGCGAAAAGCAGTAAAGGACGAAGAACAATGAGAAAAATGGCGGTTAGCAGTGCTGCACAAATTCTCAGTTGCATCAAGGCTAACACCAAGATCCGATATTTTCTTAATAAAGAACGACCCCATGTCATTAGCCAAGGCTAACTTATCGTCGTGAGGTGGAAAAGGCGTATCTGTCGTCTGATTGAACAGTTTCTTTGTAGCAGCAAAAAGCTTGCATTGATCTCCAGAAATGTTGCTGACAAAATCTGCGTAAAATTCACGACGAGACTTATTCATAAGAAAGACAACTTTGTTCCGAAGAAGTTTGAAAGTTCTCCAGTCAGATTCAGACTTTGTAGACCTCCAGTTACGCTCAGCTATCCTTCGGCGATGTTTCGCAGATCTGATCTCATCAGACAACCATGGAGCTTGAACTCTTTGAGTCATGGATCTCTTCCGCCAAGGAGCGTGTTTGTCGGTGATGGACTTTAAAGTAGTATTAAAACAGTTAACGAGATCAACAAGGTGATTGGGAGTATTAAGTAGCAATTCTGAAGTACGGATATCATTCTTAAACTTGGGAAGATTAATCGAGGGAGATAGAGAAGCATTAGGATAGTTTTCGAAATCATTTGAAGTGGGTAAAAAACTGTGAGATTTTTTTAACCCGCCATCAAACGCGTTAGAAAAACCATTGAAGGTGGTAGAAAACGGTGTTCAAATTTTGCATCAAAACGTCCGCCTTAAGAGAAGACGTTAGAATATTGTTCACTGCATGGAAGTTTGAAGCAGGCACCAGGGTAAATTTTGTTGGTAATTAAACCTAATTCTTAAGGTTTAAGCTTAACAGTGTATTACGTTGAGACAGACAGACAGGTTACTTAAAATCACAGAAAATATGAGTCTATTTCCGTTTTAGTTAAAAATTCAACAAATACCAGCAAAACATTGAATCCATCACATAACATACGAACCTGATTGATAAGTTGGCTAAGTACAGAGATTGATACGCTGGCGCAAAAGCATCATGGCAAAATTTTTCAGAACACACAAAACAGGAACAGAATTCCACCAACATTAATTCACTTGTACCTCTTAAAGGTTACTATAAGAAATATATAATTTTAAAATCGACGTCAAGAAAATGTGTTGACATTACCGCAAAAGTTTGTTACTAACACCACGGCAAAAGTTTGTCAACACCACGGCACAAGTTTGCTATCACTGGGGCAAAAGTTTGTTAACATCACTGCAAAAGTTTGTTAACACCAAGGCAAAAGTTTCTTAACATCACAGCACACGTTTATTAACACCACAGCAAAGGCTGGTTAACATCATGGCAAAAGTTTGTTAAGTGTGACACCCCTAGCAGAAGTTGTGCTAAAGTGGAAGTGGTGATCCCTCGCGCCAGCCCCAATAAGTTACATTTTGTGCAAAATGGCAGACAGAGATGCACCAGTGACAAAGAGGACACAGTTCATTAGTACTTCAAAAAAGGATTTGCTTATGATGAAACACTTGTATTTTTGGATAAACACCATGGTATTCAAACAGGGAATTAAAGAATATGGTCTTAAACGAAGAAATGGAAACTGAGACATTAATACAATTTGGGGCCCAGTTGTTTGAAGACCGATTAGTGCTTAACCCAGGGTCAAGTTTAACCCAGGCTTCTTTTTCTTTTGTCCAAAATCATTTTCTCGCATAAGTTTCAGTTACTTTTAAACTGAAATTACCTTTTAAGCTTTCATATCTGAATTCCAATTTCGCACTAACCGTTGGTTATCTTAACCCAGCTTTGAACAACCCGGCCCATGCGTGGCAAATATCCAATGGGCAATGTGCTTTTAAGTTTAGAGATACTCCCCGCAGGTGCTTCAATTAGCAAAATATTACTTGTTTTCAACCACATGGGCATGTCAGCATATTCTGCAAGTACACTTTTCTGCTATCAGATTTTTCTGTTTCCAGTTGTCATCAGCGACTGGGAAAGGTACCAGGAAAAGCTGATCTCTCAAGTTAAAGGCTAAGAATGTTGAATGGAGTGGAGATGGGCACTTTGACTCCATGGGTCAAAGTGCCAAAATTATGTGGCACATACACATGTTATGTAACCCAAAAATGAAAGTGGTGTATTTGGAAATTCTTCAGGTAAAAGGCCTATGAAATATTCCATAATAATAATGTAATATATGATTCTAGGCTTTTTCCTTCATTAGTGCTTATAAAAGTAAATAGCAAGACATAAAATGAATTGAATGGCAAAAGTGTCTGTACATTTCAGTGGTAGTCTTTACACTAGAGCCTAAATAAGCTAAGAAATATTTCAAGACAAGTAAATTTTAAATTCTTCAAGTAAAGAAAACCTTCACACTCAACCTATCTTTTTTACTTCAGGTTTACTTAAGCCTGTTTCCCCATGCAACATAATTAAGATTGATTGACATGCTATGCCTTTCTCAAAGCTTAGAAACCGCAAGTTCGTTAAGTCGGTTTTAAGGATGGTTTTCAAGTCACTTGAAACTTTCTAGAATCGTTTCAACTTTCCGACTTTAATGAGATGCAAAGTAAAGTTACCTGAGATTTTACTTGGGCCTTCACACACGCAGTTTTGGCTGAGTAAAAATTAGCAGTCCTTAAGTCTTACTTAACAGCCAAGCGTAAAGACAACCATTGATTGAACTATTATATAAAATTCATTCTTATCACTGATATTCTTAGTTAAAATGAAGATGAAGATGACTTCCACATGTGTCGAAACATCAGTCACTGCCAACAACAGTCCTATCAAGGTCAACACTCACCCAGATGATCGTTGTTTTAACAAACTTAAAACGTACACCGTATTCAACAATTTTTGAAGGCAAATGAGACTGGGGGAAGTTATCAAATAGAATTGGAGGGAGCAAAAAGAGAATGTGTTTATCTACAGTCTCCTTGCATGGCCATAAAAGTTTTATCTCTGGACTGCTTGCAGTTCTTCGATGTTTGGGACGTAACATGCTCATTCATCAAGGCAATGCTAAAGTTGGGGAAAGAGAAAGGATGTGGGCGGATTAGTGATTGGTTGAAAGGAGCACAGAACCACCTCTACATGTGTGCCACATCCACTAGACTGGGTTTTGGAGAACTTATTATGGCCAAGTGGAAGTCATTCATGCGGCATGTGGCGAATAAGCATGAGGACCACCCATCTCTGTTCAAACAATGTGATCATGAAAAAGAAATTGAAAGAAGAAGATGGATCAAGATAGGTATTCTTTAGAGTTATTTCTAATAAGGAAGAAACATAATTATATAGTTTTTTATACACTTATTGTACTCTCACCTTTTCAGTAGTAACGTACTTGTGGTATATCTGAAACATTACTTGTGTACATTACTTGGCCAATCTACAACTATGAGTACTTTTCAGTCAACCCTCAAGAATACCATATAGGTTCCCTTTCTATTTTAGGAGTGAAAGCATATGATAAGCTCAACAGCCTTCTCACCAACACAGAACTAGTGGAGAGATTGGGCCGAGTGATGGCGGAGTAGGAGCACCCAAAAAGCCGTCCGCCTTCCAAAAGTTCTTTATGGCCGAAAAACTGTCTAACTATATTAGAAAACGCAGAAATCGATCATCGACAAGCTCCGGAGGCGAGACCTCGCCATTTCAAGAGGCAAAAAAGCCCAGAGATCTAACAGAAATAGAAGACGAAAGCACAGATAGCAACCATGAGACAAATGACGAAGTCATGGCGGCTCTCGACAAAATAGAACACATTGGAGAAAAACTTAACTCCATCATTGATAGACTGAGTAAACTTGACTCAATCGAAAGCACAGTAAGAAATATAGAAACCAATTTGGCGAATCTCAAGACAAGAACAGCAAAGCTCGAAGAGTTTCAAGCAATGGCCAAGACTGACATAGCTGATCTAAAGAAGTCTTGCAGTTTCAATACTGACAAATGTAAGGAATATCGAGATGATTTAAAAAAGAAGATTGACAAGCAGAATGAAAGAATTACCTCTCTGATTGAGAGTGAGAAGAAACTCAACCACCAAATGGACGAGATCATATCCAAGAACCTTTATCTCGAAGCTTACTCTAGGAGAGAGAAAATTAAATTTTTTAATATCCCTGAAGCACGAGAAGAAGATACCGAAGGTCTTAGAAGTTTCATGGAGAGAGATCTCGGATATCGTAATGGCCGCAGCATGGAAATCCAACGCGTACACCGTCTATCAAACCGACGTAACAGCAACACAGCTCCACGTCCTATAATCGCCAGATTTCTTCGATATAAAGATGTCCAGGAAATTTTCTCCTTGGGCCGACGTCTAGAGGGGTCCGATTTCCAAATGTTCCGCGATCTTCCATTGGAAATCATAAAGCGCCGGAAAGATCAAATGGCAGTTTTCAAACAAGCACGACGACAAGGTATGAGAGCATCTTTCAGCAAGAGCAAGCCCGACAAGCTGTTTATTAACGGCAGTTTCTGGCCTCTGGGCAAGCGCCTCGATGCAACAGAAGCAGCTGAGTAACTGTTTTTCGTGATTGTACCTCAGAACTTTACTCTCCTTATTTATAAATCTAGGGTGGCGGGCGGCTTAGCTATCCCGATCGGTAATAACTACTCGACCAGGTTTTTGCTTTCCTTTACGCGCCCGCTAGCCACTCGAAACCCTAAACTGATCAGGTTTTTTTATAGTTAAATTGCTTATGTTTTGTTGTGTTATTTTTGGTTACTTTAGTTGTTTTATATGTAATTGTTTGTGTTTCCGTGCCGCCAGTTTGCTTTTCGTATTAGTACAACGCTGTTTTATCGATTCCAGTGTGCATAGCTTTATAAACTACATCGATAAAATTATACCCACAGCTTCGGATGCAATTTCTTCTTTCAAAGCTTAAAAATTACAATTTCTGAGCTGTATGCAAAACATCTTCGCTCGGCTATAACGCTGTTATTGTCGATTAATCCAACAGTGCAGATATCTATTATATCTCCTTTTATTTATATACAAAATAGATAACAATACTATCACGGTAGCTTCTCTCAATGTACGGGGCCTTGGGAATAACGCTAAAAGAAGAGAAACTTTTAATTGGTCTTTTATTGAGCGCACGCTCCAGCACTTTGGTTTCGGCTCTTCTTTGATAACCTGGGTTCAAACATTTTACAAGAAAACTGTTAGGCTGAACAGTTTTCAAAAACCCTAATTTCAATCCATTTCAATCTTCTTGAGTTTTGCCCATCCGTGGAATCTGTTGTTTCTGTTGTGTTATTTTAACCTTCCTTTAATGTTTTAGGTGGTTTTTTTATGTTTCTCTCAATTTAACGGGCATTTTGTAATTACCTACTTTGTCTGAATTTTGTGACACAGCTCCTCTAAGTTCAGAAACTGGATGATACCGTTCAAGTTGGCACGATTACTGGTCACACATGACGGCAGAAAGTTGACCCGGGTAGGCGAGTTATCCCTAGCCGAACGTTTAGAAGGCAAGCACCAGGGTTACCCTCCCGCCTTGTAAACAGGGCCTCAGACTATTTTATACTTTAAAAACATGCTTACCTCAATGGTTGCGAAGTAACGAAGTTGCTAACTTCAAAATTTTCACCACACTCGGTAACTTAACCAGACCCTACATCTTCATGTGTAAGCTCCGTAATGTGTTTAAATGTGCATTCTCTGATTCTCGCAAGTACAATGACGAAACAACGGCTGAAAAAACGTTCGGAATTAATTCCATGTTAGATATCGATCAGCCAACGACGATAAGTCAAATGCCTTAACTTTAGACTTCAGAGAATCGTAACTGGAAATGTCACCGTCGAGTTGTTGTTCCGATCCCATGAGCGCGCTGCAGCCTGTCAACAAGCTCCGTAGTTTTCGAATACGACTAGTTACAAAAAGGTGATTTTGCATTAACAGAGAACCATAAGGAAAGAACCGCGTAGAGTCCACCCGCTCATAACCTCATCCAAAAATGAAAAACAGAACACGTTTAATCTGAAGTGTTCCAACATCTTCAGCTAATAGCTCAAATATGTCAGATGACAACGAGTCAGAGTTCAAAGCAGAGCTCTTAGGACAATGTTTCCAATAAGGCAACCAACCATAGCGGAGCTCTCGCGCGCGAAGCGCGCAGCGGAGCACCATGGGTAAAAAAATGTGGTAAACTACCCATCCGAGAAAATTTGGTAATCACGTGACCGTACACCAACCGCCCGCCCGCCCGCCCGTCCGTCCGTCCGCACCACAGACATACCAATGAAAAATAATTCAATTAACAGGTATGGCAACCCAAATGCAACTCAAGGAAAGAAATCGCATGGCCGCCCGGATTTTTAGAAAGAAAAAACAACAACAAAGTCGTGTCTTTTTCAACGTTATTTTTTATGTTTACACTCACGTTGATAACAGAGAAACTGAGCTAGAGCTAGTTTCTGAGAACAAAAGAGAAGGATTTTGTAGGAAGAAAAACATGAAAATTCAAAGCGGCTGTGAGACAATGAGAAATGCTAGTGGCCAGCAAGGTGAAACTGAGCAGCAGTGAAAAATAAAAGCGAACATCAACACAGGAGACAAAATATTGGGTAAGAATTCCTCCATATAAATAATGTGCAACCAGGAAGTTTGACGTTTAGTCCTACAAAACAGCGTTGTAGTTGTGCAAAACAATGGCAAAGAAGAACGAAAAGCGTGCTGCACGTGCAAATTTTGTTGTTTTGCTAATTAGAAAAAAAAGTGTGCTGCACGTGCAATTTTTTTTTTGCTAATTAGATCTATTGATACCATTTCCATTGGCCTCCCTGTTTAGCATTAAAGATTTAAATTTTTTTGTTTACAAGTTTCATAAACAAGAGCTTCGCTTTTAGCCCTGGCTAAATCTATATATTAGTTCATGTACGTGACATCCAACTCCCGCTTCCCACGTGACAAACATGGTTTTTTTTGGAGGGGCTTATCTTTTTCAAAATCGATTGGGCTAAACTTATAGTTGGAAGGAAATGTACCATTTTTGTTTACGGTATCCATCTCTAGCATTTCTCGTAATTTCGGCCCAAAGCTGAATGAATTAGTTTTGTCTTACTACCCAAGGACACATAAGTGCGCCTCCACATATATTGTTATCTATTAATGGTCTTACCTCAGCCACGCTGCCTCCCTAAAATGTGTGACATGTTGTTAAGGATTATTGCTGTCATTATTTTCCAGAAAGCAGCACGGCAAAGAAAAGCCGTCAAGGTCAGCACAACAATTTCAGAGTAGGATAAAAGCCGATACCTCGGCGCGATTCAGGCTTCCTACATGTCCTCCGATGACTCTGTCTGTGACAGTGAGGCAGAGGAAGGGGAAGAAAGGTGCCGATGAAGCCAAAGAGACAACCGTCAAAAGGAAAAAATTCCTGACAAAAAAATTGCCGTGGCGCTCTACTGAATTGGAAGATTTAGTTCAGTCGCTGGACTGAAAGTCCTCTCGAAGAAGGTCTTCTAAAGCAGCGGCTATGATGACTCGCAGAGAGTCATCGGAAAATGCCTCGGAGCGTCTTGCCCCGCAAGACGCTCCTCAGTGGGCAATCCGCCTACCGCCCTTAAATACGTAATACCGAGATGAGGCAAGAGCGAATTGGATGGGGGTCTGAATGGGGAGGTAACTTTGAAGCCGGGCTTTTTTTTTTTTTTCAATTTTGACGGTTGATAACAACAAGAAGTTTATTATGTGGAAATTTAGTCCAAGAGTTTCACAAAATAGAAACTTCTGTGTAAATAAATATGAAACTTTTGTGTTTTGAAGGTTTTCGTGACCTTTATTTAAAGGAGCCAGTCGGTGAAGATCAGCTGAAATGATGAGCTAGTAAGCGATTTGAAACGGTAAAAAACAGGGTGAAAACGGTAAAAAATAACCTTTTTTGACGGGTGACGGTTTAATAATCCCACTGAGACCCTCTGGGCGGAAAATCAGAATGCACTCTGACAGGATGACGATTCCGCACTCTGAGCTGAACGAACTCACTATCAACTCTTTAGGCGATTCAGTCATAGAAAATTCGAATTGTTATAGACAATGAGTTTTTTACCAATTAGAGTGGGGAATTCGATTGTTGTTAGTTGGAGGGCCAGGTCCACCAAAGAACTTTTACCGCCTGTGTTAGACTGCAGGGAATCCCTGTGTCACTAACAATTACAGGTAGCTCGATTTTTCTTTTTTTCTTTGGCACGGTGAGGGGCCCGCAAAGTCATAGTGCCGGTGAAAGTTGAAAATTTTCTGTTAGTTTTTGGGTGTTGGTAAGTAGTTACTATCCAAAATTCAAAGACACACGCGACAGTTGGCATTGTCGCCAAACGTCTGAATCGTTTAAGACTTGGGTCACGTGGCTTCTTTGTTAAAGCAAAACTACTCTCGTGGTCAGATTTCTATGCATTTCGAAGGCCAAGAAAAACAATGGCATTTCTGTGAACCAAACAAAAGACGAATTTTCGCTTGATGAAAGTAAATCGATGAGACTCCCTTTGATTGCAGTTTTTTATGGCTTTATAACTCAAATGCGCGAACGACAAAGCGGCAACGTAACCAAGTCAGCAATTTGAAAGCTATGTGACCACATAGGTTCCCTTTTTTTGGCTAGACAAACAAAGCCACGTAACCCTAAGACGCTAACGTCTGTCTTTCGCAGCCTAATAGTTACCATTTTTATTTTTAGCCTCGACTTTTGGCCTGAGTTTGTTTTCGGGGTTGCTGATTATCTTTTTAAAACAATACGCCCTTTCCCCAGTGACCTCAAAACTAACTTTAAAGAGAGGCTAAGTGCGCGCAATTGATATAAATGTGACTTTTCATATTTATGAAAATAAAACTCATTTTACAAAGGTTTTGCACTTAGCCTCGTTTTACTGAAAAGTGAGAGAACTTGGAAATGGCCTAAAGATTCAAAGAACATTCTGAACAACGCTGAACAACCGTATTGAAATAAGATCTGGATTGACATAGCTATCTTTGTTCAAGTACGCAGAATTGATACAGAAACATCTTTCGGTTTTATGTTTCAAGACTGATAATGTTGTTATCCATATTTTATCAACATGAGCTCCATTGAAAGAAGTGATTAGAGCCTGTTTCCCTATAAAACTGTTAGTAGCAGATTCTTTTATGATACGAAGTTTAATACTAATTTGGAAAAGTTTGAGGAGTCGGCTCCTTTAGTCCTTGTTGGAAAAAATTTAAAATAAAGACGTGAAAAGCGCAGGAGAATTGGCGAAAGAAGCGAGCTCATTCGTTCTTTTTTCTCAGTACAAAAGAGGAGCCTGGTATCAGGCTAATTGAAAAGTAACTTGGGCTTTATTGTAATTTTTTTTTCAGTTAAGTAAGTGTTTTTAGCTGCCGTAAGTTACATTGATAATCTCTGACTGAATATTTTTAGTCAGACTTTAGTGCGAGTTTTCCGAATTGGTATAGAAACATCTTGGGGTTTCTCCGACACACGGAGAAAGTTATCTATAATTTGTCGTATTCTTGTATACAAAGTTACTAACTTGAAGCTT